CAAATAAGCCAAAAGGAGAGGATGAACCGCGCGGATCTACCAACTTACATGCTCAAATACTAGACACTTGTAGAACCTCCCCAAAGCTATGTTCCTTGCGTGAAACCCGACCAATCATCGGATTGCCACAGTAGCGGCACTCCACCAATGGAAGGTTCCCCTGCGCATCCCTATAAGCGACAAGAGAGGGCGCATCTGACCGTGCCGCTGCTAAGTGAGAGCTCGACGCCATGCTTCATTTCTGTGCGGCCCCACGAACTAGGGTTTGGCAAGAGAGACGAGCAAGAGAGGAAGACAGAGGAAGAAGAACAGCTCGGGGAAGGAGAGCGTGACTGGATAGGGGTGACTGGGTTGGGTTCGACCATGTAGCCGAGCCAGGGGTAAAGTCGACCAGTGCAAAGATGTTCTCTCTTCAATTCCAGCGAAAATGATATTTTAATGGAGGCGGTATGCTACGACTAAGGATCTCGTTTTCGTGATGGTGCTCCGCCAATACTGGAGTTGGCGGTGTGCTCCAGCAAAATACACGAATCTATAATGTCCCACGCCAAAATTAGCCTTTATTTTTCCATGTATGAACTTTGGAGTTTGAACTTTGAAATAAGGTCTAATGAACTTGTTGAATGATATCTTAGTTTGGTAAAAGTGATAATTACACCATAAGTTAAGTCGGTGTATATTTATATGCACATTTATGTATAAATATATTCATATATTAGTATTATTATTATAAAGTCCGGAACGATACGCCGGTATAGACAGGTACTGGAATGTTCCATTCCAATAGGCAAAACGGAACAGCCTCCGAGAGTCCAACTCCTCTCCATCACTCGCGCTTGCAGTGGTTGTGGTGAAGATATTCGCTTGGAGGAATTTAGAGAAATCCAGAGAAATTTATGAGAGAGTGAACAAAAATACCAGTTGTGTACAGTGAAATCCGGCTGTTTTTCAGCCCAGCCGAACTGCCCCTCGGAGATCTTGTAAGCACTGCAGGTGGGCCCCGGACAGACGAGCGGCAGGCGGCTGCATTCCCCCCGCGGCGCGCCCTCGCTGGCTCGGCCTCGACCTCGGCCCCGGTCCCCGGCCCGCCGCCCGCCCGTGTAGTGTAAAGTGCGTCTGCGCCGCCGCCACCTACACGACGGAAGCGCGGCGCGAGGGCCGACACCTACACGCGCGGCGCGGTACTTGCGCCGACCGGGACCGTAGCTACTCTGCTCGCTTAGCTTAGCTAGGCTTCCGCCGCCCGCCGCTGCCTCCAACAGCTCTCACTAGTAGAGTGGGCTTTTCCATCGCATGCAAAGATGCAAGAGAATACAAACCACATTTGCAATCAAGCCACAGGGAGCTGGCAACTTTCTGGAGTAACATTTTTGTTTTCGGCCGGTATCACCAAATGTTAGGATGCGTTTAGTTCGCGAAATGAAAATTTTTGGATATTACATCGGATGTTTCGGGGATGTCGGAAGAGATTTTCGGATACTAATAAAATAAACTAATTACATAGCTCATCTAAAAACTGCGAGACGAAATTATTAAACTTAATTAATCCATCATTAGAACATGTTAGTTACTGTATCACTTATGGCTAATCATGGACTAATTAGTCTTAAAACATCCGTCTCGTGATTTCCAACCAAACTGTATAATTAGTTTTTTTTCATCTATATTTAATACTCCATGCATGTGCCGCAAGATTCAATGTGATAGTTTGGGATGAAATTTTTTTGAAACTAAACCAGGCCTTATCGGCCTTGTGGAACAAACAAAAACTCTTTTAGCAAACACTTCTAGTGACAGTTTTGTTGTAATTAATACATTCCCCTAAAAGCCGTTTTGAAAAACATTTAGCAAACAAAAACGTTTAGCAAACATCTCTGGTTGACAGTTTTGTTGTAATTAACTCAATTTTGCAGCTCCTGTTCCTCAGTAGCAAAACAGATCCAGTCATCGAGACCACTAATTTCAGGACTTCTTCGCCACAACGGTTTCTTCGATAACCATTTGGCAAAGCTTCAGCCAGGTTGTTACTGATTTGGGCTGATGCTGGTTTTTTTTTTAGAGAAAAACACTGTTGACTAGCTGGTTTAGGCTAGCTGAAATCAAAGCGAACAGGCTGCCGAAGCAGCTTCAGAAGCACCGTCAAGCAGTCAAGCTATACTCAACTGCTCTGCCAGGCGAGTTAGCATGCAAGAACACTTCACCGGACGCATTGAAATCAACAAGGGTACAACATTTCAAAGGGAAATAAAGAAGCACAGCTAGATCCCATGGGCAACAACCAAGCCCATGGGATCAGGCACACGATTTGCCCTGAAATTTTGAGACAGATTACGGCCCTGTGCGGGACGGGAGGGTTTGCCACATAGAAATCAACCATGCGCACAGAGCATTGCACGGGGTACACACACACACAAATGAAACGACAACAAAGGTTCACGATTCAGACATAGCATGCAGCGGGGCAGGGGAGGATAACTTGGTGAGCGCAGCTAACATGGGCATCAGTTGCCGCCAAACAGGTAGCCCAGGGAGGAGCCACCGCCAGGAGCAGCGTGGACCTTGGTCGAAGGACGATCCTGAAACCATTCACAAACAACAACACTATCAGTTAACCAGGTCCAAGACTTAGTATGACACGGTTGCGTTGCATAACTGGTAAATGAAGAAACAAGGTTTGGTTTCCCGGGAGTGATTAAGCAAGCCAGGTTCACCTGCTTTCTCTGTTATATATAGAGTTTACAACATTGTTCATATATGAATCTGTAGTTTTGAATGAAACTGCAATAGGATTCATAATTCGGTATTCCCTGGTATGAGGATGAGGATTCATAATTTGCGCCCTTGTATTGATTCCGCGTCAAGACACAACTATGGGTATGTTTGGTTCGGCAGGTTCTAGCTGATAGTTTATGGAAAGACATGGTCTGACTGTTTTCTTAGGGACAATTAATTTTTTGCCACTAACAAGGTGTTAGCATTTAGTGTTGATGATAAAATGGTACATGCCTCATGATTGATAGTCCAAACATTCAAGACTTCAGGATGTAGCACAACAGGTCAACAACCCCACAACAATCAAGACTCAGTACGCTTTAAAAAGCAATATACGTGATTGGAAGTCTTTCCATGAACATAACTCTAGCGGGTTGTTAGAATAAGTACATACATTATGTGACAATGCAACACTAACTACCATACTGCTTTCCCATAACATGATTATACCTCATCTTAACATCCCACAAAATATGACATCATTTCTAAGCATATCAATGGATGATGGCAACAGTAAATATGTAAAACAAAGTCTTATGTGAAATGAAAAGAACGTAAACTAGCATACCGTAAGGAAGTTCCCCGTGTTCTGGCCATCAGCCCTGTGGTAGTTATTGGTTTGGCTGGTAACCCCAGCAGCAATCTGCTTGTTCACATCAGCCTTTGCAGCAGGTGGTTTCTCAGCAGGTGGAGCACTTGCAGCTGGTGCCACTGCCGGTTTGGGGGGCTCATCGCTTCCAAAGAGGTAGCCCAGAGAACTTTGACCACCACCGGCGCTACCACCACGGCTCATCTTGGTTATTGAAAAGAGAAACTATACAAGGATTTAATCAGGTACCAAGCATTATTTCAACACACACTGTACAAAGGAACAAGAGAGACAATGCAAATCGATTTCATTTCAAGGACTAACAGATAAATACTGGAAATATCAAAGTCTGTTTGGATCTGCCAACAACACTTGGTGAGGATGTAGATCCGCCGCAGCCAGGGGCCCCGGGGAGGGGATTACCCTGCGGATCGACGGCGGTGGCTAACAAACGCCAACAGATCCGCGTCTACCGACAGGCAGCGGAGGCTCGGAATCCAGAAATGGGCGCGGATCTCACATCGCGGCTAGATTCAGGCGCTTACGGCGCAAATCAGGGCAGGGAAACGAGACGACGGACCGAGGCTAGAGCCAAAGGTGGGAGGGCCTTACCGAGAGGCAGCGGCGAGGAGATGGATGGCGACCGGCGGCCGGATCGGCGGGGTCGGCGGGGCTCCGTCTCTCTCTCGCTTCTGCGCTCAAAGTGGAGAGGCCTGCGGCTGGTTTTGTATACAAGAGGGGACGGTGGGCCCAGGACCCCGGGGATGGATGGGCCCAGCACCTCCAGCCGGCCGTCCGATCTCGCCACTGACGGTGGAGATGGCTCCGGGCGCCCGCGTGAAGGGGATACTCCCTGCCGGCTGCTACGGCCGGAAACGCATAATGTTTTTTTTTTCTTTTTTCGAAATAAAAACACGCATCGGCATAATGGTATTCAATAGTTGCTGCCTCGGTTTGCAAACGTTTAACGTTTGCCACCCATGCCCATCGAAAAAAAAAGAACGTTTGCCACCCATGATATTTTCCAGCAAATATCTGACATTGCATAATCTCCATTTATTTCTCAAATATTCATATGAATTTTCTAGAAATATGAAATTTAGCATTCACATGAAGTTGGAAAAACACCCCGTATTCCAAAGAGCTCGAATGACACCGAGGAGGGTTTCCACACAAGCACAGTAGACAGTAGTACAGTACCATCCACAGCCATCAACCTGTCCCTTGTTTTTCATTTCATGCGGATGGCAAAGGGAAATTCACCCTACTGTAAGATGTGATGTGACTGCTTCCAGAACGGTGAAATGCTTTGAACTAAATCACACAGATCAGATCCATGGGAGCTTTAAACACACCACAAATTCACCATCGTTGTAAAAATTACATCAAGGCAAGCGTTTGATACACTTCGTGAATCGTGAGTATATATAATAAACACCAGCGATCATGGGTTCTGTGCGGGAAAAGGGTAGGAGGGGTCAAGTCAAATAACACGCACGAAGCTACAAATCACAACAAAATGCCCTTGTTTCCCCTGCAGTAGCACATACCAACTTCCCATTACAAAGTAAGGATACACACCCAGCTACCCCTTAGCTAGTCGTCCTAGTGTACATGGAAGGGGGTGAAAGTGAAACAACTAAAACGTCCTGGAATACTTCTTGATTTCGAACAGGATGGAGGATATGGACACCAGGTCCTTGTTGAGGGCAGAGCCGCCGTTGATCCTCTTGACACACTCGGTGAGCCTGCGAGCGTCGCCCTCAAGATCTCCATCCCGCACAGGAAGTTGCTGAAAGATGTGATCACATCATAGTGCATCAGCTCGATCGCGGCCTTGTACTGGCTCGCGAAATCCTTTACCAGTGGCTCAACTTCGGCAATGCTGGCCTGTTCGGCTGGTATTAAAGCCGGCTGAAGCTGATTTGTTGTGAGAGAAAAATACGGTAGATTGTAGCTGATAAGCCGGCTGATAAGTTCATCCGCTGATTCAGTTTTCAAGGATGAAATGTCCTTCGAAGGTAAGAAAGAAAAAGGGCATACAGTTGCCAAGAGATCTCAACTCACCTGGACGAGATTTGACGAATTTGATCAAACCACTGAACTGCTCCAGGAGCAACTCTTCCTGCAGAAATATGCATGCATCGTATCAAGAAACTTCGGTAGAGTTTTTTTAGGAAATGCTAGTGTATTATTAATGCGTACAAGAAATTGGACATGATATGAACGTCACAGAAGTCCTTGAATGAACAGAGACAAACTGCAGCTCCCTCTAACGTCATTAGCATTAAACACATGAATTTTTATGTGTTGCCACTAGGTAATAGCAGTCAATGGGCTTATCCTAGTTTACTTTGTACAAATTTGCCATATTTCATTCTGTCACGAAGCCTTGGCAGTCGTTATAAGAAGCCAATACCCCAAGTAGATTTATGTATTTATTTGTTTGAACTCTGGAAGTTCCACCAGCAAGCTAAAGAAATGCAGTAAGTAGTATTCTGCCATACGTTCAAGCTATATTCATTTCAAAAAAAAAAAAAAAAAAGGAAAAAGAAAAGAAAGATGTTCAAGCTATAAAACTGCATACCACATATATTGCGATGTTGCTCTTAAGAACCTCCTCGAAGTGTTGTTGTGCCTTCCCACCCTCAGTTCCAGCTTCCTTTATGTTGATGATAAGGTTAAATTTGAATAAGGCAATTGTAGTATCATTTTATAAATTTCTAACATACTGGGAAGTTACTATAACAGAAAAGGTTGCCATTTAAAATCAGGCCGAGAATTTCTACCTTTAAAATGGAAATTGTTAAATCATAGTTATTTATCAGAAAAATAGTTTGCAACTTCGGGTTTAGCAAACATTTTGGCCAACTTAACAAGCAAGTCCTCAATTGCCATCCATAATCGCTCCAAATTTAAATCAAGCTGCATATAGAAGCCAAAATTTGAAATTTCGATGAGCTACAGAGTGTACTTATGGCATGCGGTGTGGGTGAAAGAAATTCTGCAGACAGTAAACAATTTTGTTTATGTGATCAACTACCCATGTTCAACATTGAGATGAGCTAGAGAAGACGTAAATTCAGCATATCTCCTTGTAACATAGTGCGGATGGACATCATCCTCCCAAAGAGTCTTAATATTTGCATTTCGCAAGCTGTTCAAATGCAAGTTGAACACCATCTTGAAGCGAGGCCAGAATGACATATTAACCTGTCCATTGTCCATAAATTGTGCTCTGTCATTCAAAATAATGGAAATGGAGCAGAAGAAAGACTCACATAAGGAGCTAAGAATGGATTCAGAACTAACCTTGTCTAGGTAAAAGTCCAAACATGGGATTCGCCGCTTAAACATGATGAGCTGCACAAAATACACATTCCATTGAGATTTAGCTAAATATAGACCAGCTGCTTGCACCAGTTTATGCACTAAATGAAAGCAAATAAATTTTCCGATTAAATATAATGTTTAAAAAGAAACACAAAAAAAATACAAAAAAAGGGTAGATTTTCAACTACATGGGACTGTAAGACAATCCAATACATACAGTTTAATCTACTGTCTCAAACTAGGTGAAAAATGATAGCTTCCAACCAACCAAACAGAGAAATTGGATGGGTGAATCAATATCTACCACAAAATTGATCACAACTCACAACCACTGTGAACAGAAAACACAATAGTCCCCGGCTTTATTCTTAATAAGACATATAAATGTCGATATCACTAGCTGTTCCATCATAAGGTAAATCAAAGTTCACCTGGTGCTGATAAATTATTCTGATCATAAGCATTATGCCAATTGCATCATAACAGTTCAGGAGTACAGCATTGAAATGTTCATCTACAACTTGAATCGGTCCTGAGGGGGCAAAACAGAAACAGACAACTAAAATTAAAAATCATTTGCAGTCAGCATAACAGAAAATATGCTAATCTTTCTACAGAACTTAAAAAGACCCTAATATGCTCCTTAATGGGGAGAACTATATTATGATGAAAATAAGAAACTCGGCTTAGTGATATGGTAGCTAAAAAAACTCATAGATAATGCAACTAATCAGATCCTATTTTTTCTCCTCACTCATTGGATGTATGCATGAAACTTTGATACGTGTATCACGCATATGAGATTGATACATTAATGCAATTGGTATGTTTGGAAAAATAGTGCATGAAAGCAATATTGGACACGCAAGGTAAGGGCAACATGCTAGTAGTTAAATATAAGTGTACTCTGCACAAGATAGAAATAAAAGTGAAACAAACTTGATGGAAGGAGGATGAAATACCTGCAAATATATCATGGAATATGGATTCTTCGCCAAAGAAATCATCAGTAAACAGGTATCTGCAGTTTGTTTATATATGTCACACTAGCACTTTATCATCATGAATATAATAAAATGTGGACTAGATGGCAACCCAAGGCTTACTCTGAAGTGGCAGTATCAATAAGAAGTTTCTGCAAGCTTCTGAAAAGAACTTCATATGAGTATTTATGTGACTTCGCTTCAGCTATATGAGGTATCAATGCTGGCTGATCGATTTCCTGGTATAATAAAGAAAGCGAAAAACAGAACTTACACTACTATGCTTGGTACTTGGTAGTTTGAGCAAATAAATCCTTCAGCAACAATATACAGTTCAAAAGATTAAAAATAAATAAATGCAAGGCCACATTGCAATAAACCAATAAAAACTGCTTTATCTCAAATCTTTAAACAGTTATATTATTATAATTACTACCGCTTCGTGGGTGTAAGTACAGATACAGGCACGCTGAAACTACAGATACGTAAATAATCAAACAGTTTGGTTTGAGCATAATGGCCTAATGGGCTATGCTCTGATGGCAAATGCTAAACTTCTATTGGCAAGCTTTGTCCACAAATTAAACATCTTATTAACAGGTGGAAAGTTCTAATTAGTTGCCACTACCACAATAACTGAGTTAAGCTCCCACTACCATGATTGAGCCACTTATGAACTTCAAAGCTCTGAACATTATGTCATTATCTGAATGGAAGTGGTAATAAGTTCACCTTTAAAATGTTTATTTGTTCACCCAGAGCAAACACTGAAGGACGGGTTTTCAGAGGTTCTTTTCCAATGGAGAAAATGAAGCCGGTGCTTCTGGTTTCAACACCAAGCAAGTCGGTGGAAGTTGCTATGTCCATCTGTAGTTTCTCCAATGCTTGTATGTAAGCCCGAAAATGTGCACTTAGCACCTGAAAATTGGCAGGAATAGCAAAAAAATCTAAAAAACGTCAAACAACTAAAGTTGGTCATGCACACATGTATAGGTCTTTTATTGTTCACTTTTCTGCTACATGGTAGCAGACTTACAAAGTTTCAAGTGGAAATTAGAACAACGCTGACGTATATGAAGGTTGGTGCCAGAAAACTAAAACAAGTAATTAGCACAGGAGCAGAAAGAAGCAAAGGCAGGCAGGAACAGATGCCAATGCTCCAGGTCCCAAATTGGGTAAAGCGGTATATCCTCAACCCCCAAGTGAAGCAGTCTATTCAAACACATAGCAACCCCCTCTTGCTTTGATCAAGAGAAGTTTATGGTCTAAGTTTGAACCCTTAGGCATTAGCGGTCAGCGGTGAAACCGAAAAGAGAGGGGGCGTTAGGAAAAGGTTTTAGCATTTAAATAAGCCAAACCTGGCAGTTTGTTGATACAATGTTAGCATTTAAATATGTAATTCATACTTGTCAACAAATGCTACCACTTAAGGTTTTATTCTCCACATAGACAAAGACAACAAGATCTAAACTTTAACAAGCTATCTGTCAAGTTTTGTTCAGTCCTCCATGAGTAAGACACTACTGATGACAGCCTATGCATGGTTACCGAAAATAGTAGTATGACTTTTCCATAGGAATATGTAGACACACATACTATCACCACGATCTAATGCGCCTTTGATGCAACATCCCATACCACCATTGTCTGTAATGTCCCTACAGATATCTTGAGGTGTTTCTGAGACCTTTGTACATGAGCCTACATGTATGAGTGGTTTCCATAACCATAAGGAATGATGCGGAACTTTCTCCACAAGTTAAAGTTGGTAATTTAGTAGGATTTTATACCACAAACAGATGAAACGACCTACATTTTTACAGAGTTGAAGATTATGTAGTACAGATGAATCTCTACTATTTCTAAACCGAGTGATTCTGTGGTCCGTTTACGGGCCTGGGCTGATTTGCTTTTGTCTGTCTGTTTTGGTCCTGGGCCAATTCTTCATCACCATCCATGTCTCCTCCAAGCAGTCTCAGCCACCGCCTCTCCTCCTTCCCTATGACCGCTACACTGAAAAGATCTGCGCCACTGCCCGTTGCCCTGCAGCCTACCCTTACCTTCTTCATGAATCATGATTATGAGGATGCGCCATCTCAGAAGCAGCAGTGGCATGAATTATAATATTGAAACCATTATTTAGTTCACAGAACTTTGCAGAGACATGGTGAGCGAGACAGGTACTGAAAACAGAAACAATAGTACAAGGCTACAAGCCAAATAGGTGTTTGATAAGAAAAATTGGCATACTTGTATTTAAGAAGAACACTCTGCTGTAGAATTTGAATATTAGTCTTTGGTTTTCTCAAGGCATAGAACTTTTGGATGACAAATTCGAAAATCTGCATGAAAAGTTGGACATGCATCAATAACTCTGTGCTGTAGCCTTATACTATTTAAGAAGAACACAGATAAATAATCAGTGAGGAAAAGGTTCAATCATAGATTCCATTATAACTGCCATGTATTAATGCAAATTAAACGAAATATCAAAAAATCATGCTTATTCATGATAGTGTATTAACTAGTATGGCTATTATGGGCTATAATGGCTTATAAGTGACACTCTCCGATAGTAATCCATTTGGTTGCAAGATATTTTGCTGCTCACACTTCACCATGTACGAACATAGTGAAGATAAAAATTCAAAGAACAGCACAGGAACTCTAATCAGAAAGGTTTGATAACTCATTATCACTCCAGATCATAGCATCTCACTGCAACTAATTGTCCATCATCACTTGCATATAACAATTATAAGTTCCTCATCCTGCAAAGAGATTGCAAGTTGGAACTTGTAGCTATGTGCCACTGGCCCTAGGCTCCAATTGTCAGTGACATGTGTTACCCAATTCATATACTACTGCAGTGCTACTAAGTTTGTTCCCTTTTCAATATGACTTAGATACATATGGCAAGTTTACCATATGATCTGTCAGTTAACAACCATCATGCATCAAGACAGCAAGATGCACTAGCTCTGATAGTCACATCATGCTGACAAAGCATAGACATGGGAAACCACAGAAGGAAAATAAATAAAGTGGGTAGATGATTGGCCAACAGAAGGGCGGGCCTGGTGCAAGCGGTAGAGTCTTACCGTCTGTGACCGGAAGGTCCCGGGTTCGAGCCGCGGTCTCCTCGCATTGCACAGGCAAGGGTAAGGCTTGCCACTGACACCCTTCCCTAGACCCCGCACAGAGCGGGAGCTCTCTGCACTGGGTACGCCCTTTTTTAGATGATTGGCCAACAGAACTTAAGAACCAACAATTGTTTTTCAGACCTTTGAGACAGCTTTCTGTCGTAGTCTCTCAACCTCAGGCTGAACATCTTTTAGAGCCTTGGACGATTTAACCATGGGATCAGCATCAATGAATTTGATTTTTTTGCTTAGAGTCTCAAGTGTTTTCATATATTCATCATTGACCTGCATGGTTGTTGAATAGAATATTTTCATAAGTCTATTAGGCTGCATTTGGATGTAGACATTGGGGCTTAGGAATTGGCATTGGCATTGGATAGCACCAAATGCCGCTGTTTGGATGGCCTAGACTTTGGAATTGGAAATAAACTTCAATGCCAAGGGGTATTTGCTACAACCGCGCCCCCTCACCCGCAATACGGAGCCGCGACCCTCCGTATTGGGGGGAATCGGAGCCGCGACCCTCTTCTTCTCCCTTCTCCCTCCGCTCGCTCAATGGCGCATCATGGACCTCGTGACGGACGCTTAATCCCGCCACGACGTTGCACGGACGCCGACCTCCCACCGTCGCACCGCTGCTGCCCTTGCTCCTCGTCGGCCCTCGCATCCCTTCCCCTGACGCACCCGACCTGCCGAGTGGATGCCGCCGAGCACGAAACCACCAATCCGCGCGGACGTCGCCGAAGCGAACCCCCCGCCGCGAAAGCACGGAGCTCGCCATGGCCCGACGCCGCCTTTCCCCGCCATGGCTCGACACCCATCCCGGCCATTGTCGGCTTGCCGGGCCGCTGTGCTGCCGACGACTTGCCGAGCCTGGAGAACTCCAACGCACGCGAAGCTCATCCTCGTTGCCGGCCATGGACGCGACTAACGGAGAGGTCGCTGGCTTCGGCTTCAGCGCTGGTGGACCTCGCAGCGTCGTCTCCTAAGGTCTCCTAAGTGTCCGCCGGTCAAGGTCGCCGCCCCCGACGCCTCCCTCTCCTTCTTCCCCAGGTCCAGCAGGTGCCCGCCGGTCAAGGTCGCCGCCCCCGATGCCTCACTCTTCTTCTTCCCCAGGTCCGGCAGGTGCTCCTACAGGAGTGTCGGGGTGGTGCGGTGGAGAGGAGGAGATGGGTCAATTCTATGCACATCCAAACAATAGATTTGGTATTGTGAGTCATTTCCAATACAATGCTGATTTGGTATTGGTACCAATTCAATGCCAACATCTTCAATATCTACATCCAAACACACCCTTAAAGAAAAGCTCATGAACACTGCTCCAACTACAGAAGAAGCTATGCTGGTGGAGCAACATGGTAAATCCGTGTGGCTTGTTTTTTTCTCTTAACGTAATCCATGTGACTTGTGATATGTCAAATCTGACAAAGAAAGTCTTGTATAGGTAAAGAAAAACAGTGAAAGATTGAGCGAACCAATATATGCAACAGCAAAAATAATGTCACCAAAACAGATACAGTATCATCTAAGATAAGATATGCTTCGCTAGTAAAATGGTAATTTATAGGTTTCTTAGAGAAGCAAAGGGATAAAATAAATGATCCCATCATTTAAATTTAACACACTAACCCAAATAGCAGAAAGTTGCATTATTCTTATTTGTTGCAAATGAATGCTATACTAATTCCAGAAAGGACTTTGATCATAGAATAGAATAAACTAAATCAAATCAACACTGTAAAAATAAAACACAAAAACCAGTAATGTCGAAAGTTGGCATAATTAAAGAGTGTAAGTAATAACCTCTCCATCAACAATTATGTCAATCATTCTTGGAGGTACTATTATATCCATAGTTCCGCTAGGCGCTCGCCTAGGCGCGACTAGGCGCGACTAGGCTCTAGTCGGAGGGTGTCCGCCTCGCCTATGGGGGTAGGCGGACCCCTAGGCGGCGGTGGTGGTGGAGGAGCGCCTGGCGGAGGTCGTCGGTGGGGGAGGAGGAGCTGCGAGCGGCGGCGGGCGCTCGCGCGGGCTTGCGCGGGCGGAGGAGCTCGGGCGGGCGCAGGCGCGGGCGGCGGCGGTGTGGGAGGAGGCGTGGATAAGGTGCGCTGGGCCGTTTTTAACGGTGGATAAGGTGGGTTGGGCCGTTTTTATGGGCCTTTCTTCTCTTTTCTCCCTGTTCCATGACCATTGGTCTTCTATTTTTTCTTTTCTTTTAAGTACTTAAGTATGTATTAATAAATTTAAGCATGTATTGGAAAACGCCTAGGAAAACGCCTAGGAACGCCTAGGCGCGATTAATCCCGCCTAGGCGCTAGGCTGAGGGTCAGCGCCTAGATTCCGCCCAGCGCCTAGCTGAACTTTGATTATATCCTCAACAAATTTTGACAGTTTAGACTCTGCAGCCTGCAATTTGTTTTCCAAAAGAGAAGAGCCAACATAAGGATCATAAAGATAGCTGAACATGAAGAAAAGAAAAATATTATGCATAAAAGCTATGAATATTGGGACCATTTCGAAAATGAACTATTTATGAGTTCTGATGGACCAGAGGATAGTGCCTCCACTTGAAATATTATGGAACTATTGCTTCATATGATTTTAAGACATCTCATTTCTAAATTCTAATAAATGTGAGCCAGAAAGCAAAATTGTGTTATATGTGATAGTAGCACTTATACTTAGTCATTGGTAAACATAACACCTAATAAGAAACATCATCTAATCTAATATTTTCCTAACCATGTCACTTTCGTAGTTGCGTGCACAGACTAGAACACCAGCTAAAGGGATAAGAAAGGTAAACCATAAAACATGGGAGATGGACAACATCATGTCCAGCATAAAGCAGCCTTAACAAAGGAACTAATGGCAAATGAAACCTAAGAATGAAATATACAATATATGCAGTGAACCAGACCTTACGATTTTTCAGCTTTAATCCCATGTCCATAGATTTCTCCTGAAGGACCTTTATCTCCGAACTTATGGAACCAATTTCTGTCTACCACAGAAGTCAAAACATTGAAATGACTTAGTAAAGAAAAGAGGGCCAGCATTTTTTATCTAAAGGTGCATACATACAGAGAACTCCGCCTATGTTGTCTCAACATAGCAGGTCCCAAGCCCTGGTAAAAGACGAGAGTTGTGATAGGCGTGACGAGCCAACGTTAAATCTAGCCATTCTAATGGAGATGAAACCCGAAAGAAAACCGTTAGGGCGTAACCCTCTTAGCGACGCGCCATATCAGAACCCGGATATGGTGTTAAATGGGCAAGGGCCGGGTCGGCACCCCCTTGGTGACGCGTCGTGTCGCGATCTGGGCATGGTGTCAAGTGAGCAAGGATCGGGTCGTCGCTTCCTTAGTGGCGCGCTACATCGGCGCCCGGGTGTAGTGAAAAATGAGCAAGAGTCTTCACATCTGAGTCGACAGGTGCGAAGGGTAAGGAAGCTAGTCGAACCAACTAGGATTCGTTTAGGTAGTTGGAATGTAGGATCGCTTACAGGCAAGTTAATAGAATTAGTTGATACCGCGACTAGGAGGCGTGTAAATATATTATGCGTTCAAGAGACTAAATGGAAAGGTTAGAAGGCGAAGGAGGTGGACAATACAGGTTTCAAGCTTTGGTACACAGGGACAGTCGCAAATAGAAATGGAGGAGTTTTGATTGATAAGAGCCTCAAGAATGGTGTGGTGTGAGCGAGAAGGCAAGGAGATAGGATTATCTTAGTCAAGCTTGTCGTTGGTGATATGGTCTTGAATGTAATTAGTGCGTATGACCCCAAGTAGGCCTCGACGAGAGTGCTAAGAGACAGTTCTGTGAAGACTTAGATGGCCTGATTAGAGCTGTACCTAGTAGTGAGAAGCTTTTTATAGGAGGAGATCTTAATGGGTACGTAGATACTACAAGCGCAGGTTTCGAGGCAGTTCATGGAGATTTTGAGTATGGTAGTAGGAATCAGGAGGGGGAGGAAGTTCTGAACTTTGCGGTAGCTTTTGACCTGATGATAGCCAGCACTTTCTTCAGAAAGAGAGAATCTCATCTAGTGACCTTCAGTAGCGGACAACATTCTAGCCAGATTGACTTTGTCCTCGCAAGAAGAAAGGACAAATGAGCATACTTGGGTTGCAAGATGATACCAGGGGAGTGTGTTGTTTCTCAACATAAGCTTTTGGTGGCAGACTTTCGTTTTCAGGTGCGTGCCCGTAGGGATAAACAAGCTAAGATTGAAAGAACAAAGTGGTGGAAACTGAAAGGGAAGACGACAGAGGTATTCAGGGAAAGGGTTATCAAATAGGGCTCTTGGAAGGAAGAAGAGGACATAAACAACATGTGGGAGAAGATGGCAACCAACATTCGAAAGGTGGCCTCAGAGGTGTGTGGAGTAACCAATGGAAGTGGAGACGAGGCTAAAGATACTTGGTGGTGGAACGAGGAAGTCCAAAGGGCTATTATGGAGAAGAAAAATGCTATAGACGCTTGTACCATGACAGAGTGTGGACAACATAGAGAAGTACAAGGTGGCAAAGAAGATCGCAAAAGCGAAAAATGTAAGTGTGGCAAAGGGTAGAGCATGACGGGACCTTTACCAACATTTGAGTACGAAGAAAGGAAAGAAGAGCATTTATAGGATGGCTAGGGTTCGTGAGAGAAAGACAAGGGACTTCAACCAAGTTAAGTGCATTAACGATGAAAGGGAGCATCTCTTGGTAAAGGATGATGAGATCCGACATCTATGGCAAGAGTATTTTGACAAATTGTTCAACAGTGAGAATACGGACACAACTTTTCAGTTGGATGACTCTTTTGATGACACCAATAGGCGCTTTGTGCGGAGAATCTAAGAATCTGATGTCAGAGAGGCGTTGAAAAGGATGAAAGGAGGTAAGGCGATGGGACCAGATGGTATCCCAATCGAGGTGTGGAGATGCCTCGGGAACATAGCTATAGTATGGCTAACCAAGCTGTTCAACCATATTTTTCGATCGAACAAGATGCTTGACGAGTGGAGGAGAAGTATATTGGTACCGATCTACAAGAATAAAGGGAATATTCAAAGTTGTACTAATTACTGGAGAATTAAGTTGATCAGCCATACTATAAAGCTATGGGAGAGAGTTATCGAGCATCGCTTGAGAGCAATAACGCGGGTCTCTATGAACCAATTTGGTTTCATGCCCGGAAGGTCAACCATGGAAGCAATTTTCTTAATAAGACAAGTTATGGAGCAGTATAGGGAGAAGAAGAAGGACCTACACATGGTTTTTATTGACTTGGAGAAGGCTTATGATAAAATACCAAGGAATGTTATGCGGTGGGCTTTAGACAAACATAAAGTTCCAGCGAAGTACGTCAGGCTCATTAAGGACATGTAGAACAATATTGTGACCAGTGTTCGAACAAATGATGGAGACACGGATGACTTCCGGATTAGGATAGGACTACATCAAGGGTCAGCTTTGAGCCCTTATCTGTTTGCCTTAGTGATAGATGAGGTCACAAGGGACATACAAGGGGATATCCCTTGGTGTATGCTTTTCGCGGACGATGTAGTGCTAGTTGATGAAAGTCGGACAGGAGTGAATCAGAAACTGGAGTTATGGCGGGAGACTTTGAAGTCCAAAAGTTTTAGACTCAGTAGAACTAAAACTGAGTATATGAGATGTGACTTCGGCACTACTACTCGGGAGGAGGAAGATATTAGTTTGGAAGGTCAAGTAGTGCCTAGGAATGATACATTTCGATATTTAGGATCAATGCTACAGAGAGACGGGGATATTGATGAAGATGTTAGCCATAGAATCAAAGCAGGGTGAATGAAGTGGCGCCAAGCATCTGGTGTCCTACGTGACAAAATGGTACCACAGAAGCTAAAAGGCAAGTTTTATAGGACGGCGATTAGACCTGCTATGTTGTATGGGGAATGTTGGCCTACGAAAGGACGACACGTTCAACAGATAAGTGTCGCGGAAATGCGCATGTTGCGTTGGATTTGCGGTCATACGAGAAGGGATCGAGTTTGGAACGATGTTATACGTGATAGATTAGGAGTAGCACCAATTGAAGAAAAGCTTGTCCAACACCGATTGAGATGGTTTGGACATGTCCAACAGAGACCTCCAGAGACACCAGTGTGTAGTGGAATCCTAAGCCAGGATAGTAACGTGAAGAGAAGCAGAGGAAGATCGAAGTTGACTTGGGTAGAGGCAATAAAAGGAGACTTGAAAGGATGGAATATACCCAAAGACTTAGCCTTAGATAGGAGTGATTGGAAAACAGCTATTCACGTGCCTGAACCTTGATTGCTTCGGCTGGGTTTCACTCTAGCCTACCCCAACTTGTTTGGGACTTAAAGACTTTGTTGTTGTTGTTGTTGTTGTTGTTGTGGTGGTGCATACATACAGAGAACCAGTAAAGCCTGAATAGTCTGGCATTAAAAAGGGTATTTTCCATTACATTTAAAACAAATTATAAGTCTCGAACCATTAATAATCCAGAAAAGGTGTCATCCAGAGTACATCACTGAATCCGTTAAATGGATCACATAAATTGAAATTACAATCCTCACATAGCTCATGGAATGCAGAAGATAAAATGCAGAACGTGTTGTTCATAGCTCCATCTCTATTATAGTTACTACATGACATGTTCAATGTAACAATCTAAGTTCAGAAACAATTAATTGAACTGCTAACAACAAAAAAAATGCATAGCCCAAATTTGACATAGGTTGTGCACAGCTACTCTCTTGGCTATCCAGCATGTACGGGAATGTCTCATGTAGTATTAACACAAAAAAAGGGATATGTAATTACCTGGAATCCAGTCAGAACCGTTTCCATTTGTGACAAAATATTGTCACAATCGTGAATTTGATCATGCAGAGAAACTAGATTTTCACTTTCCTTGATGTAATCCTACAAACAAAAGGAAGACAGAACTTCTTAATTCCAAGACAGTAACCACTAGTGATTTCTTTTTCAGCAGCGCTATGAAATCTCAGCAGTCCCAAGTCCATTGTCTACAACATAACTTCACTACTCTTGAACAACTGTTTGATGATTCAGCATAAAATATTGATTAAGAGAATGATCATATCAATTCAACATAAAGTTATTCAACAAATCAGGTTGAGATTCTATCAACATTTTAATTGCCCAAAGCATAATTGGCATTAACTACTTAACAAAAAAGAGATAAGTGATAACAATGCCTAAAACAATCACCTGTATAGAATCCAGCTCGATTTGGCGTATGTTATTCTCGACGCCTTTTGTGTATTCACGCAGTTTAATGCCATTGGCCAGAATGTTTGCGACTTCCTGCGTATGTTTAGAATGAAAACAACAGTGATCATCAAGAAAGAGGCAAGGGAACATGTTTCATACAGTGTGCTGGTACCCAAACATTGCGATTGCGGCAAGCTCAAAATGGCAGCAATGCAATCCACTTACTTCAAGGTCTCAGTAAGGAGTAAGCTGACTATCTAGTACTACACAGATATCATATATTGTAAGCTGGAGTAAAACACGACACCTGATCATTCTTGCAGTTGTCAAGCTCCTGCTGCAGCCCCTCCAGGGACTCGTCGTCACTGACAACGATGAAGCAGCGCACACTTTAGAATTGCAGTGGTAGAACGATAGGTACAGCAGACAGCACACGACGCAATCCGAGACAGAAGAGCTGGCGATCGTAGTACCTGGTGACTTCCTCGTCGAGGGCGAGGTCGCCTACGAAGACCCCGAGATCAAACCTGTCCTTGTGCCCGTCGAGGGTCTCCGCAGCAGGGACGGCCGCCATCTCGGGGCGGAGATCGCCGGGGCGGACGGCGGACGGCGTCGGCCGGCTGGCTGGCTGACTAGCTCCGATCTAGATCTGCCACCGGTAGCGGGGACGAGGGCTGGGATCGGATCGGACGGGTCCCCGGGAAATGGAGGAGACCCGGACGACCTGTCGTCGGGTGGGTGGGAATTGGAACTTGGAAGGATGTGTTGGGTTGCACTTGGGCCTGTGGTCTGTGCCCGTATCTAACTGCAGACCACGCGGCCAGTTAATTCTTCCGGCCCATATAACCGTATGCTTAGTTAACATATTTGGCCATTTCAGCCCAAGTTCTTTTTTTTCTTTTTGGTCTTGATGACTGAATTTAATTTTCTCTTTTTTCTTTCTTGTTTATGCCTCATTTTAGTTTGTTTATTATTGAATTTTAGTTACTTTTTGCAAAATATAGTATAGGCACAGTTCTCACATACATGTACACAAGCTCATTTTTATGAACGCACGCACACATCCTGACTCTATGAGTACTTTTGAAAAGGCTAATACGATAGGTCTCAAAGTTGACGAAGTTACCATAGGAACCTCATGATAGATGGGCATGTCGCCTAGCATTGTCAATTTTCTGGTGTTGATGTTTTTCCTAGCGGCTATGATTATACGACGCGTATGTAGTAGATTTGATTGTAGTACACGAGAACCACAAAGTTTAATATACCAGATAACATATGGAACGTTTTTAATCGAAAACATGTTTATTTCTTTCCGTAGTTGGTTTCTTTCTCTCTTTTTTTGTTAGCTTATATATTATAAAAAAACATATAACATTGCATGTGAACTAATGCAACACCAAATTTTAACATCATAGACTAGTGGAACATTCAAAACATTTTAACAAAATATCATATGAAAAATACTATATGAGTAATAAATAGGTGGACTAAGCGTAGCTTAGTTAGTTAAGCTGCCTACCCGGCATCCATCGATGGATAATTCCAAAGTACAGATGCTAAGAAGCTTCAAATTCGTCGTTACTTTGAGAATAGTTTTAACAACTGTCACAACGAGATTCACTTTGAGATATACAGATTTGAAGTTTTCAGCAATAATGTAACCAACACTGGTGTCAGCTACTCAACTCGCTCATGACATGGGCGTGGAGACCACGCAACTTGGACACTAACGAATAGCTTGAGCACCTCAAGGCTCCAGTGCTTAGCTAAAAAAAAATACGATGGTGCCTAACTGCTGCCTGCTTTTCTTCTATATGATTTAACAAATACATTTTTTTTATGAGTGAACGACAAAGTACGCTTTCGTTGATCAACGGAACAAATAATGGCATAATGTTGTTACCAATTCTGCATTTGTGTACTCGCTCAGTCACTAAACAAACTTAGGTAGTTATGTTTGACCAAATCTATATGAAAAAATACTAAGATATTCAATATCAACATCAAATAATCATCATTAGGTTAATCTCATCATATATTTTATACTAATCTTATTTAGAGATACAAATGTTAGTAATATTTTTTAGTCTAATCAAGCTTGATATATGTTAAAAAACAACATCCAGGACCATACCACCCCCACAAAAGCACATGGTAGATAGAACTCCTAGATAGATGAGTGCAAAGAAGACCATGAGACGAGTCGTCGATCAAACCAAAGTGTCCTGAGCATACCACGAGCAGTACAGCTAGCGGTCCATACGCAGTGTAACTACCTAGTAACAATGATGCCCCCGGATCTGCTAACACCCACCGGTACGGTCCCCCGGCCCAAACACATAATTAGTAGTAATCCATCTTTTCCCCCGAGCAATTCATGACTCGTGATTCACAGGACAGTGATCGATATTGCAATAATAACCCCCTCTCATCAAAAGAAAAACACCTACAACACAACATACTAGTACTGCAATAATGCGGAGAGGCAGGAGCAGGTCTCGATCTCTGGTTCTGGTCGACGTCCACCTGGGCAGCCTACATGAGGAATCTGCCAGTCAGTCCATGTACCGACAGTACCATGGAGTTATGGAGCTGATAGGAATTCTTGGCATGCAGTGAACTCATTGGCCCTTATTTGGATGCGCATGTATTCATCTCAATCCACGTGTATTGAAGTGGATTGGAGATGATACACATATATCCAACCGAGGCCTTAGTTACTGTACATCGTTCTCTTCTCATAGGAGTACGCCGATGGATCGACAAGCATGGCAAATGTGCAGAGGTCACTCACAGAAACACGACAGCACAGCCTACGCAGCCACTCTGCAAGTTCAATATACACCGTAGGGTGGGTTGTGCACTCCACCGATCAAACCACTGCTCCTTTGCCTCCTCCTTGCTACTGCAAGGTAGCCACGGGAAAATCATGTATGTGTTGCTGCCTGCCTGCCTGCCACAATGCCACGTGATGAACCTGAACCAGCGCATGCCATGACTGACCTCAGTCACAGTAAGCCAGAATCGTGCCCACCATCATATTCTTTCAGCGTTTGTTTGATCCACAAACGTAGGACTAGGAGCAATAAACTGCTCAGACGTCAGACAATGCAAATCCGGCGCTGCACATGCTCCTCCGGCACACCGCCCCGACTGGCCGACTCCGAGAGCAAGAAGAGGAATCAGGAATGGATCAGAATTGGCCACCGAGAGATGGAGGAAGGCGAAACTGATCCAGCACGCGGCCCGACGTGGACACCCAGCAGACTAGCAGAGCTCGATCGCCATGTGCCAGCCGGCTGCTGCGCCTTATCTCTGCCCGGCCTTCGACAGTGGTGGCGGTGAAAACCTGGGATGGGAAGCAAAGCAAGCACCGTGCTCAACATTCCCTGCCCTTGTTCCGGTCCACGCTAGCTCAGCAAGACCTGAAGCTGAACCCGGTCTCGGTGGATGAGGCTGACGATGATGGCGATGCATGCCTGACAGCCACCACATGCCCGTCGCCCACAATCATCAGCCCAGCCCACATGGCCTGTTCACAGGGAGTCCAGGAGTATCGCATTGCATGCATCCTGCTGGTGCTGGTGCTGGTGCAGGGCCAGCCACGCCCGGCCCCGGCGCCCCCCTCCCCCGCCCGGCCGCCCTTCATAAATCCACGGCCGGCACCTGCCTCTTCTCTCTCATCACATAGCTGAGCTGCCCACGAGCAACCGAATCCACCCACAGACCATTGCATGCATACTCCGTACACTCTGCTCTGCACGCCCTTTCTCTTCTGCCTGCCAAGTTCCTCCTGGCCTGAGGATAGGATATAAGTACATCCTAGATAGCCCGTCAATGGCGCCAAGTCCGATCGAGGTGATCAGTCCATACCTCGGCTTCAAAAGGAGCTAGCTTCCTTAGCTTTCCAGAGCACAAGAACTAGCCAAAAATGCCGACTAGAATGGCAAAGGCCTTCTTCTCCCAGGAGGCGACGGAATTTGGCGGCCAGATGGGGTGCATGGCCACCATGTTCCAAATCTTCGACCACCGCCGCCTTCTCACCGGGCGACGACATGGTGACTGCCCTGGAACCATGGATGAACTGCCTCCAGCAGCAGCAGGTACTTCGGCTCTGCTACTTTTTCATTACTACTTTGCCATCTGTCCCCCCCGACTGAAGAACCCATCCATCCTTGCATACAAAAAAACAAAGTTCAAGAAGCCATCAGTCGACCAACTGAACTGTACCATTATAATAGTGCTGGAAGTATAAGCTGTAGGGTGCCAAACAAAAGTAGTTTAAAAATTTATTTCATGTTGAACATAGTACAAGGCAAAAACAACGACTCTTTATTGGGAAGTACATGAACAAGAACAATGATCACCCATGGTATAGTACAAGCTGCAGGCGTGCAACTTCACTTCACACATATAAGATAGCAAAAGCCAAGACCCGAGAGTGTCATGAAAAACTACATGGTAATAAAAAAGTTCATGCAAAGGAAATTGATTGTACGATCATTTTGTATTTCATTTCAGGCATTTCCGTTTTTCTCCATCAATTCATTTTTTCCTGATTACCTGCATCACCCTGCTTTAAGCATAATATAAACTATACTTCTCGGATATTAGTTCTAATACACTGTGTTTCTGTTGTCCAGGCCATACTCTGCCAGTTAGCAGCACGCATAAGCCCGTGCAAAGCACAGCTAATCCAAACATCACTGTGGTAATTTTAATCAGTTCTTTTAACGGCAAAGAATTCAGATATAAATATAACTAAAGCCCTGGTTGGTCAGCCCTGGCTCTAGATTTTGGGTTCCTTGAACAAACTAATTTTAACTCGATTTGAATTAATTGCGCAGGAGAAATCATTCAGCAAAAACAAAAGCGTGACTGAGAACAGTACCCTCTCAACGGAATCATCGAGAGCATCTTCAGCTTCGTCGTCCTGCTCTTCATTATCATCCCTGAACAGCGGCAAACCAGCACAGCAGAAGCTCCCTTGCATCAACGAGAAGCCTGTGGTAGGAAGGAGTAGGACAATGAGGAGCTCACGAAGCTTCAAGTCTTCAGATACAGAGGTCAAATCCAAACAGCCAAAAACTGAATTTAGAGATGTCGTGAAGGACTCCATCAACCAGGACTCTCGTGTCCTGGCCATCAAGACCAAAATGATGGAACAGAGAGATAGACTGCACAAAGAGTCACCAAGGCCACTGCTTATATCCAAATCAACGACAGATGGAACTTATGTGATTGCTATTGATAGGAGCAATGTGCCTCCTGCATATGTCAATGAATCTAGCAGGCGGCCACGCTTATCATGTGATGATCGACAGCTGCTGCTGCAGGCAGAAGCTCAAGACAGCAAGATGCCTTCATCCAAGCTCAGGGATCTTCCTAGGTTGTCCTTGGACAGTAGGGTTGAGTCTGTCAAGTCAAGTTTGCATCTGAAGAACTTTGGTTATGCAAGAACCAATGACAGTCTCATTGATAATTTGAAATACCAAGAATCCCCGAGCCATCAGCGGGCCAGTGGTGTCATTGCAAAGCTCATGGGATTGGAAGAGACTCTTGATGCCCCTG